CCATAAGCTCATAAAATTCATGAAGTGATGCCAGGTTTTGGTTCGACCACCCCTAACTCTTTTTCAATCTAATCCTATGTCGGCTAACATTTCCTGTCAAGGGAGACGATGTCACAGTATGCGTAACATATATCGTAGTCATCTCAATCTCAATTCGAATGGAAACTATATGGTTTGTGATCGCTAGAACACGTGTTGCGCATGCCAAGCCATTGCCTTTCTCGACTAGCAATTTTAGCTGACATTTAGGAGGTTAGGTTGCAAAAGGGTGGTTGGTTGGCTGAACAAAAACATGACATCAATTCATGGGTGTATTCTAGAAGGGATGACTAATTGGAAACTAGAAAAGAGGGCAGAAGGTGGCATGCAGTAAAAAAATGTGAGACAATGACTAACCAGTATACTTGTGTACAATGAATAAGAACTATTGGAAAAACGATAAAGTGTTTTTATATAAATTCTGTATGAAAACACCATTTTATTAATAAATAGTAATATAGTGGCAATAAAATATGGGTGGTGGGAATAATAATAATAATAATAGTAAACTTACATAATGAAAAGAAAAGAAATTGTAGGGAAAACGTTACGCTGGCCACGGTAGGACGAGGGAATGTATGTGGTGCTTTTGCATATTAAATATTAATTATAAAACATTGTGATTTATCAACAGGATGAATAGACTGTGCACACAAATTGTGCATTCATCGTTATTTTTTTGGATTCTGTGTGGAAAGTAGGGCTGGAGAAATAAACGCCATTTCACTGAGTTCTTTGCTTCCTTTTGCAGTTGGCTCAACAACTGTTCATGACCTTTCATCCACTCCTCACATGACCTCCTCCACTACACAAATGCCAAACTTGCCACTTCACACTCGAGTTTCACTCGAAGGCGTGACATATAATGTTATTTAGTGTTTAGGAAACCTACGTTCTTTTTCTTCTCTATAGATTTTTTTGGGCTATAGGTTGTTGGTTGGTTGGTTCACTGCTCTGCTGTGGTTCGTTGTTGCCTATCCTCTCTAGCCAGTCATGTGATCTTCATTATCAAGAAAGTGAAAGTAGATGCGGATGAAAGTCTAAAGCCTGTTTACTGGTTCACTAGTTCACTACCTATTCCTAAGCTCAAAAAAAGAGGTACGCTTGCACGTGAGGCTATTAACCCTATAGCAGAAAATCAATCCGGCTGCTACAGCAACTTCACATCACCAGGAAATTTCTATTTAGTCACAATACTTAAAATATCAGCTAAATTTTTCAACAGTGAAGTGTGTTACTACAGCAATAGGGGAAAAGCGTATATATATGTATATATAGGCAACTAATTCAATCGTAGTAGATTAGAGGAGTTAGATGGTCTAAGAGGTAGTAAAATGTGAGGCCACCTAAAAATGACCAAAGAGAAAAGGAAATTATGGAGGTGTTAAGAGAAGCTATATTTCGCACTCGGAACCCAATGAGAGAATGTTATAATGAGGAAGGAATACAAGAAACTGTCTGACGAGGATCGAAAATACATAACTGGTGATATAATTAGTTGATTCTGCTCCTGTCAAAGAGGAGGATGTGTCTATTTGAACTTTATTCACCCAGATATTATAGAATCATGGTTTTGGCTACACACAGGAGACAAATACGAATACCACCGGAAAGATTCAACACGCTACACCTATTCAGCATGGCATCTTTCCTTTCGGTCGTTAAGTGTCCACTGTCAACCAGACCAGACAAGATGAAGCTTTAGATATTTAATTGAATTTAAGATTTTCCCGCCGATTGATTGAACCGAAGTGCTCGGTCTCAGGTTGATATGTCGGCTTTTTGTGCAGATGCTTCGTCGATTCTGGGCATGTAATTACAAGTTAATTGGTGGGTGGCGACTAGCAGTGGAATTCTGGATGCGCATTCTATTTGTCCTATTTGGGACTCATCACTGGATGTACCTGCATTTCCCAATGAGTGATGATGTTCCCACTGACGCTCAAACCCAGTGCCCATAGCTGCAAACAACAGAGCGTTATCCACTAGAACACTCGGACCACGAGAGCCACCTCTTGTACAACGGGTCATATAACCATCATCCACCAATTAACCTCTAATTGTATGCCCAGACATCGTCGAAGCATCTGCTCAAGAAGTCGACACGTCAACCTGAGAGTGAGCACTTTGGTCCAATCAATAGATGGAAAAATCTTAAATTTAATTAATATACCCCGTTGCACAAGGGGTGGCTCTCGTGGCTAAAGTGGTTTATTGGATAATGCTTCGGCGCGGGGACATCATCACCCACTAAGGAATGCAGGTAAATCCAGATGACGAGTCCCATATAGGACAAAATGCGCGTTATCCTGGATTCCACTGCTAGTGATCATTCACTAATTAAATTCTAACAAGCTTTAGATAGTGTCTTCAGATTCAACATCTACCAATATCTTTTTCAAAAATTTATAAACTTTATTGAACAACTGTTAACCACTGCCTAAGAAACCATCACTCGACGAAATGTGGACAGGTATTCGTCTACAGTGAAACTGTATAACAGTATTTCGTATTGGTTTGTGCGAGTGTGTGCCCGGTTTCCATACCAGGTGTCTTCCATCTACGAGACTTGTTAGTACTGGAAGGTGGGACTCCTGAATGTGAAGACATTTTCTGAACATAAGTATGTGAGTGGCTATTATGAAGACCACCTGTATTATATACTTCGGTGCTGGCATAACAGGAGAGACTTTGTGTGCGACGTGCTTATAAATTCGCACTTAACTGTTATTGCACGAATCAGTTTCATATAACACATAAAGAATACTAATATCTTCGTGTTACATAATCCAACACAGCAGTTGTCTTGTGAGTTCCCTATAGCATGATTTTGTGTGAAATACCTAGTTCATGCGAGCTTGAAGGTAGTTCCTCACAATGTCTTTCCCATTTCAAGGGCTGAAAATATTATCTTCATCTTCTTCAACACACTCGAGCGTCATAAACTTCGCGAAGAATTTCAGTGAGACCAAGCAATCACTCAGATTAACAACTACATCTCCAGCTGCATTTTTACGAGCTTATTCGAGTACAGTTTCAAAGGCATGTAATACACTACAAACCTTCATCCATTTTTTTGAAATTTGAATATCTTTTCACCTTACAGTGTCCGTAAGATTTTTCACACAACTATTACGTAATGATACCTTCCTTACTTCGTATACAACAAGAACGCTGAAGTTACTGAAGCACGAATTTGATGTTCTTGAATACATCTAATTGTAGCTTCAAGAAGGTAGTCATATTTTACCGAAGTGCTACTGAACTTCATTAATGTTCGATAATTATTTTAAGGATTATTCTAAATTTACATAACACTTTCAAGATTACTTACAAACAGGTTCCATCATAATTGTGCTAAGTCATTGACAGTTACGTCACATCGTGCAACATTTTGCAGTTGTGGCGTCGAGATGTATGCTGAAGTCTCTTCAAAGTCTCTGTGACCTACAGCTTGTTATGCTTCAGTTTTCAGAGTGTTGTAGAACTGTCTTATATCACTTCTTCACTTCTTTATGGAGTGCGTTATGTTCTGAAGCCAGCTTCTTCTTCAGTTGTTGCAGTTTGCACTGCTTCAACATCCACATTACCACTTCCCTCTCCTTCGTTAGCTTCCAGGCATCGGTCGAAAGCTATTTCTTGTTTTCCTCTACTTTTCCCCACGCCATCTTGAAAGCCTTCCTACAATGTTATTTAAAGTGTGTTACACTGCTCTTGCACAGACGCTGCCTCTGTGATGCTACAGAGTGTCTCAGACTTCACTCTTCTTGGTGCACTGATGTCTTTTGTATTATGGTCTTTCAGTTTCTGACTGTTTGACTTGTATTCTAGTGGTCTGTCATTGACAGTTCATATATATATATATATTCATATTTTACCGAAGTGCTACTGAACTTCATTATTGTTCGATAATTATTTTAAGGATTATTCTAAATTTACATAACACTTTCAAGATTACTTACAAACAGGTCTGTCTGTCTGTCTGTTTTCGACATAGAACTTTGCACAAATGTGCGGAAGTTCAAGTCGCCACATTCCGTGTAGCACGCGAAGCAAGAGAAGAAAGTACAAGAAAAGCATAGTAGAAACAGTGAGCAGAGGTGTGAGACAAAGGAGTAATAAAGAAATACAAAACAGTTTCATTGAAGATCAAAAGTCACAAGGAGTGGATGCATCTGCGCCACTGAGAACGATTTTGAGCCATGTCACCAATTGTTTCCAACCATAGATTTTTACCGTCCCGAGGACCCCAGCCTGGAAGTCTACACCTTTCTACGTGGCTTAGATCAACTGTTGTGGATTTCATTGACTGATGCCAAGTTTTTGTTTGACCGCCGCTAGCTTTTTTCCAGCCTGACCCTATATCCGCTAACATTGCTCGTCGAGGGAGGCGATGACTTGGCATACGTAACACATGTCCTAACCATCTCAGTCTTTGTAGCTTCACGACTTCGTCGATTGATTTCCCCTGTTTACCTAGAACTCTACGCCTAACCTCCATGTTGCTCACCTTATTATGCCACTTTACACGGGAAATAGAACGCAGGCACCTATGATCAAAGACAGCTAGTCTTTTCATGTCTTCCACTCTCAGTGGCCAGGTCTCACAACCATAAAGGAGGACGGAGCGGACTGATGAGCAGTACACCCGCCCTTTGGTCGATAGTCGAACATCTCGTCTACGCCAGAGTCGGCGTAAACTAACAAATACGAAACGAGCCCCTTGTATTCGTGCTGAGATTTCGTCAGAGATCAGCCCGTTGGGGCTGATGGTACTTCCCAAATAAGTGAAGCGGTCAACGTGCTCTACCACTTCACTTCCTATTTTTAAACTAGGCGTCGATGTAGTCCAGTCCTGTAACATCATTTTGCATTTGGCGGGAGCGTTCCATCATAATTGTGCTAAGTCATTGACAGTTACGTCACATCGTGCAACATTTTGCAGTTGTGGCGTCGAGAACTACATTTTGAACGCTTGCGCTACGGGTGTTCACCTTCTGCGTGAATCATCTTTCCTTAATATTTTGGAAATTAGCCGCTTTCATCACATTGTCCAGTTATCCATAGTCAACAAGGATTGTATTGTATCAACTGGAACAACATATAGCATTCACTCGTGAAATCTACGTCAAGAATCCTCGGATACCATATCTAACTACGTGGAACTCAGGACTTTATCCACAGCAAACTCTGTAAAGGAAAGTCTGACTTTTTATTTTTGCAATATAAATCTGTTTATCGTTGTTGTTTTGATACTTCGATAATACAGCTATCTTATTTTCATATCCTCAAGACTTTTTTTCCGGAAATTGTGAAGTTTCTTATTTCTGTAATGGTTAAGTCTATCAAACGTGTAAGTACCGTTAAGAGACTGAGATCTAATACTAGTCAGCCATCTGAAGGCCTCAGCTCCGTTGACAATTCTACACTGTTTACACCAGCCATACCCAGAGTTATGGTATCTGATATCATGGAGGAATTAGCAGAGAATGCGGCTTGTAGCAAAAATGATTTACTGACACTTCAGAAGTCAATAGCAGAACTACAGAGCAAGTTTGACAGCATTATGCCTCTCACGCAACTGTGTGACCCACCACAAAACATCTGTTTTGAATCACTAATCAAATCCGAGCGCATAATTGACTATTTGGCTGAAGAAGCTGTTAAGAGGATTATGTCTTTACATAACGTCTTGGCCTATAACATTCCAGACAGAGAGCCGATTGCCAAACTTAAGAATTCGTGTCTAAAGGCTTGTAATATGTCGTTGACAGAATGTCAGGTCTTGCGTCTTCGTAAGAAATCTGCAAACCACTCGTGTCCTGTGCTTTTCAAGTTTAGGTCTACCGAAGAAGCCAGGAATTTCCTGAAATCGGGTAAGAAAATAGGCTCTTCAACACCATACACTAACATTAGGGTTGCACCTGATTTAACACCATGCCAAAGGCGATGCCGCTCAGGAACAGTGAACCCTGATAACTCTAATAGGATAACTGTAGATGATGTTCCGTGCGTTATTCCGTCTATTGAAATATCTGATCACGGCATGCAACAGACATTTTCGCAGGTAGTGGCTAATGTTAGCCAAGCATTATATAACGATATTGATGCAGACACTGAAATGGTGGACATAGATGAGTCAACGGGAAATAATGTTGAAATACATCGTTTTCACACTGACGCAAAAGTCAAGACACCGAAACCATCAAAACCCATCCCACTGGTGGTCCAACCATTGCCTTATAAGTCAGTTACTCCTCTGTCTGACAATCCACACTCTGTAAAGCACCAGTCGAATGTAGCCACCCAAGTTGGCAAGTTTTCTAGGCGTTATGACAAACGTCCCATTTCCATTAAGAAAACTAAAGCTCATGAGGTGTTCAAGCCACAGAAACCCTACATAGCATGTGCTGACTGCCCTGTTAGCCATCATCAGCCAGATAATCATAAGATAGGGGAAAAAGAAGTAAATAAATTAAATACTAAACCCGGAGCAAGAAAGCTCTTTGATAAGAAAGAGACGAAAGCACCTGTAGGCCTTCTTTGTAAGAGAAAGTCAAATATGGTAGACGAAGCTCCTAGGGGTAGGCCTAATTGGTGCCAAGTGGAAAGCCAATTTTATCGAATCCCTAATTCTAGACAAACAGCACAGCAAAGTAGTAGGTATTGTTCTGCACATCCACTACGTAAACCCCTTGTCAACCAGCCCACTTCTAATATTCTGTCTACTGAAAGTTATAGAAAATACCCCAAACATCGGCCACAGACCACATTTAGCAAGCCAACAGAACCCATTCATATATCTTATGTGTCTAGTGGGGAGCATGTGCCGATTTCTGCACAAAACTTGCCATGGTCTGATGAATACCAGAAACAGATACCAACACTTCATTCTTATACTGGCAACAAATTACCGAATACACATATCGGTTATACCTTAGGGCAGGATTTTCACCAGCGTCAGTTAACAGAAACACCTGGAATCATGCATATAGCACGCATGATATCGGATCAATTCCTTGCTGGCATAGCGAACAGTCTACAGCTAGGGCAAGGCATATTTCCCGGGAGATAGCTGACACAGTGTCGACACCAAACGCGGATACTAATATCTCTAAAATATTAATATCTGATTATCACACAGGTGTCTCTCACTGCATACCATATCCAAACGTAAGCCCATCCCTGACTACCACCTCAAAAATCTACCTGAAGTCTTCCTACGATCCAAAGATATTGGTAAATGAGTCTGATAACATGTATATAGAGGATACTCACGGATTATTTTACCAAGATGTTGTCCGCTCACTGAAACCACATAGCCAGTGTTTATCTATTATCCTAGTAAATACGAGATCAGTTCTAAGCAAACATTTAGCACTAAGTACAATAGCTTCTATATGCAGACCGTCATTGATTATGATCACCGAAGCCTGGTGCACAAGTGAAATCTCCAATGACAGCCTAAGGATTGATAAATACAACCTTTTTCGCGGGGACAGACGGACAGGTCGTGGGGGTGGAACACTAATTTACTGTGAACAATCCATGTGTGCAACCCAGTTTAGTAACCCAATTCTGTCACAACTCAATGACTCGATCTGGGTCGAAATAAAAGTTGTCAGAAGTAAACCTATACTTGTGGGTTGTGTGTACCGGCCCCCTTCATCCAGCAGGGAATATGATAATATGCTTAGCAATATCTTTAATGTTACAGCCAATCTTCCTTTCAGTTATAAAATTATCGGAGGCGATTTCAACTTGCCAGAAGTATCATGGTCTTCACTCCGAGGACCCCAAAGGTACGATAATCTCATAAATTCCATCGTCACAGGAGGGTGGACACAACACATAAATTCACCCACTAGATCCGCAAATATCCTAGACCTTATTTTCACGAACAACATAACGCCATCTACCGTACATGTTGGACATGAATTTCCAGGTAGTGACCATAGAATAGTAGTTTGTTCTTTTGACATCTTTCCTGAAACAAAACGCAGAGATGAAGCTGGCCAGATACCTATGAGATTGTACACACATGCTGACTGGGACTTGTATCAGCACCTAATTAGATGTTCTAATTGGGACTCGTACTTTTCGAACCAGTCCTTAGATGCAATTCTTAACAACTTCTATCAGAATATTAACTCAATTCACGACGTCATTGCACCCGAGAAGATTCTTAACTTCAGATTCCCCCAAAGTGATTATATTCCGACATCGTTTAGAAGAAGTCTACGTAAGCACTCAATAAAATACTACAGATATCATGACTTATCGTCATTAATTGCCATAACGTCCCTTCTCAGTAGAATTGAAGAGTTGAGAAATATAGGCCTCAGAAACAAAGAAATGCAGGCCATTCATGCACCGCATAACTCAGGAGAAATAGCCAAACTTTTTAAAAGTAGGTTGATGAACTCCAAAACACCCTATCCGAAAATAATATACTTAGACGGCATTGCTTACGAAAATAATGAGGCGATATGTGAACTGTTTAGCAAGCACTTCGCCAGATTATACACCTTAGAGAACGATGAAGTCGTGGATTTCCCACGTAAAACAGACGAATGTTTAAGTGACATAATTTTCACCACACATGAGATCGATAAAGCTGTCGCAAATCTTAAGCTTAGTAACACTACTGGCCCAGACGGTATATCTTCCGTTCTGCTGAAAAAAGGTGGTAATGACATGAGTTTACTCTTACTCAAGTTATACTCAATTTCATTAAGCGATGGGACATACCCTAACTGCTGGAAGAAGTCTTATATTGTACCTATCCATAAATACGGGCCTATAGCTGATATCAACAACTACCGCCCCATCAACATCACGTCTGTAGTTTCACGTGTAATGGAAAAGATAGTTAAGACTCAAATCATTCAGTACTTGCTGTCAAATGACCTACTATCCCCATCCCAATACGGTTTCTTAAGTAGAAGGTCGTGCATTACTTGCCACTTAGATTATTTTGACTACATCACACAAAGCATTGATAATGGGCGTTCGGTAACAACATTGTTTCTTGACGTTAGCAAGGCCTTCGATAAAGTCCCACATATCAGACTCCTAACAAAACTCCAATCCTACGGAATAACCGGAAATCTTCACAAATGGATAAGTTCTTTTCTCACAGAAAGAGAGCAATTAGTCAAAATCAACCACCAGTTGTCTTCCTCAAAGCCGATAACCAGTGGTGTAATACAAGGTAGTGTTCTTGGCCCTATTCTATTCCTCTTATTTATAAATGACATAGTCTCTGTAATCAAGTATGGCAAGCCATACCTTTTTGCAGATGATCTCAAGATAGTATATGATTATGGGTACGGTGATATGAGCGTCGAAAGCAAGATCCAACAAGACTTAAATGATCTAGGCGATTGGAGCGAAAAGTGGCAACTGACTTTCAACCCAGACAAGTGCGGTATAACCCACCTTGGACGCTGGAAACCGATAATGTGCCTATACATGTACGGTAAGCTCCTGTCAAAACTGAACACAGTCACAGACCTCGGGATAACATACTCAGATTTATCCTTTTCCGATCACGCAAATAAGGTTGTATCTGACTGTAAACGACTTACTGGCTTTGTACTGCGTAACTTCTACACCCAAGAAGCAAGATTAGCTATATATAGGACATGTATCCGTCCCAAACTTGAATATTGTGCTCTCCTATTTAGTAACCTCAGGACTGTAGACAGAAAAAAAATCGAAAGTGTCCAGAGATTCCTCACGAAACGCATAATAGGGTTCGACCAACAAGTGGAATATGTTGACAGGTGTGTACGTCTGAAATTAGAGCCTCTGTGGTTAAGGAGAGTGAAGTGCAACCTATTTCTACTCTTCAAAGTCATTAGGAAACACTGCTACAGTAACTCATCCATAACTTGGGAAAATATTAAATCATATCAGCTGCGAAACCACGACTACCTTGTCAAGGTGGCTACCCACAGAAAATCCATTAGGGCAAACTTTTTCACCATAAAATATTGCACTCTTTGGAACCAACTACCACCTGAAATAAGATGTTGTGAAAACCCTGATGGGTTCAAACGGAGCCTAGAAAGACACTTTAACATGTCCACCCTAGCTCGTCTAAAAGACCACAACTGTTGGTAGAACGGAAATTGAAGGCCAGTCCAGTCTTCAGTATAGTCACATACGTATATCTCGACTCTAATACTCACGCAGCGAACGTTAACTAATTTACTGATTTCTATTCTCTATAATTTTCACTAAGTTGTGTTGGTGAAAGTAACACTGGAAATAATTGTAATAGCATCCACACCTTTTAACGTTTTACATATGTATATACTAATATACTAATACTTATTAATCATGCATGTTCAACTCTTAAATTAGATGGATATTAAAATACTTAAAATATTTATGCATCAAATGTTCTCTTGCTTTACCACGCTTGTTTCCCTTATAACACTCAATTATTGAACCTAGTGTAATATTTGATATACGAACTATATTATTGATTATACTCTTATCATATATGGTTTGATTTACTCTACGGCTCCCTGTAGACTAACCACCATTCTTCAGTATACACACACTGCAGTATTGTTAAAAAACGCCAAAATTTCGTTGGTTCTGTGTTAATATCTTTTTATAATATGTCTAGACACGTTACTTTGCAATGTCAGATGTTTACTATATATAAGACTGTCATGAAAATTTAGTACACTAAGTCCTGCCAACCGACCTTACCTTCAGTCCATACTACCTAAATTGAACCTTAACTATAGTATTCTGCTAAATCTTGCTCCACTATTCACAATACCTATTCGTTTTACTCTTTAAGGTTTTAACTTCTTATAAAGTAATCTGTTCATCAGGATGCATGCACACATATATAATATGTTCGTAAAGATGTACGTGGAGACCTATTGGAAGCACTCATTAAGAAAGCTAGGGAGATGGAATATGGGGTACGAACATGTCTGGTACCAAGCAATATATTTGCGGTAGCCATAATAATCATAGTCTCAGAGCTTAACATCAAAAAAGGAGGGAGGGTGGCGTTAGCTGATCAGTAGATATGGTGGTGGTCACTAAGGTGAATCGCCCCATTCTGCAGGAACAGCAATATACAAATTAAAGGCTCGAGATATTTCTGATTTTTATGAGGGCTTAGATCTTTATCTTGAAAAAGATAATAGTGAACGCCTTGACAGATAATGCTTCTACCTTTAAATATATACCATTCGCTCAGCCTATTGTTGAGATGCGACCACGTGGGATCTGCACAGATTTATGGGGCATCTTATGAATTAACTTGCTATCCATTGTCAGATCTTTAAATACCACTTCACAATATCTTGTCTCACTTATTTTCTAATAACGTCTTTACTTGATTCTCATTATATTCCATTAAACCTAACATTTTATAGCTCTTTATGAATTTGATTCGACTTATTCTATTCCTATTCTCTGGAGGGTACGGTTGTGCACCAAATAGAAAAAAAGACATGAAATAAAGACAACTGGCTTGAAAATAATTGTATTAAAGCCAAAAGTGAACGCATGATAGTATAAAATATATTGGTTTCATTATACATTGCAAATGAACGTTGTCGGCCTAAGGATTAATTACTTCCCCATTCTGTTTTCTATATAAATGTGTTTATTAATGATATATTTCACTCACTTAATCTATTACACTTTAATGTTACACCACAGCACTTTAATTTTTCTAAAACAGCTTCCAATTCCTTGTAAACGTTGTACTTACCTCAATATTGGTTGGTTATCGTATGCCTACAACCACGGGATGAAAACGAAACGAAGTCGATTTTCCCGCTCAACCTGGAGGACAATTGTACAATTCAATAACTATACAGCCTAGTTCAGACAATGTGTATTTATATATATATCAAATATTTAACTGTTGAAACATTATTAACTTGTAGACAATTTAAGATTTGACATTATATCATCCTTGATCGTGCCTGTAAAAATGGCATGCATTTTCATGTAAATTTATGTTTATATGAAAATAAATTATTATTATTATTATTATAGATGTATGCTGAAGTCTCTTCAAAGTGTCTGTGACCTGCAGCCTGTTATGCTTCAGTTTTCAGTGTGTCGTAGAACTGTCTGAAGTGAGATATGTTCTGAAGCCAGCTTCTTCTCCAGTTGTTGCAGTTTGTATTGCTTCATCATTCATTTTACCATCCCTCTCTCCTCCTTTAGATTTCGGGCATCCGTCGAAGGCTATTTCTTGTCTTTCCTCTACTTTTTCCTACGCCTTTCCTACAATGTCATTCAGAGTGTTCCATTGTTCTTCCACAGAGTTTCCTCTGTGATGCTACAGAGTGTCTCAAACCTCACTCTTCTGGGTGCACTGATGTCTTTTGTAGTTTGATCTTTCAGTTTCTGACTGTTGAACTTGAATTCCAGTGGTCTGTCTTTGACAGTTCTGAAGGTTTTCGACTTGACCAGGAAACGTCCTTGAGCAAGATGGTGGTCTAAGCCCCCGTCTGCTCGTTATTTTGATTTCGTGCTTAGTAGCCTATGTCTCCACTTTCGTGAGGCTGAGATGAGGTCTATCTGGCTTTTGGTGTGCCTGTGAAGTGAAGTCCATGTTGCTTTGTGTAAATCCTTGCGCTGGTACACGCTGCCTCCAATCACTAAATTATGGGAGACGCAAATTCTGTAAGAGTTCTCACTTCTCATTCATTTCGACGAGGGAGAATGTCTCTATCCAGGATAAATTCTCTCCCTGTAACTTCTGACCCCAGTTCATTTATTTATTTATTTTTTATTTTTGATTACAGCTTGATTCCACACCGTATTTTTTGGTACAAGTATGGAATTTTCAGCGTGAATATCGGTAGCCCAAAATTCGCCAGCCGACCATAGATATCAGGTGTGCGTCGGCGAGGGCTCGAACCCGGGGCCATGTGCATGGTCGGCGAGTGTCCTAACCACTGTGCCACCGACGCACAATAGCCTTTATCATATTTGGAGTATTGTTCAATAATTTTCGAAGCTGTCTGTAGGATTCTTGCTTCCTTTCATGTTCTGCGTTGTTTGTAGGCACCCCGTATTGGAGAATTATAGCTTTCCTTCCTTCTGATTTGAATCTTGCTGTCATGCTCCTACATAAGCTTGTTTTTCACCGAACGAGAGCTTTGGATGCTGTAGGTTACATAATGATATCCACTCCCTCAGTATGCTCGTGGTTGTCATCTGTGAAATCATAAATGATTATTTACTCTCTAGTTATTGAACTGGAATGAATATGAAGGAAAATAAGTCTGAATATAAACGCAGTAATGCCATTTATTGCTTAACCATTCTAACACGTATCATTACAATCTAACAAAATACATATCATAAAAAATAGTCACTCAAAACT